TTCTCATTTTCTGGAAAGCTCAGTGTCACCAAAGAGCACAGGAAGTAAAGTTTAGGTTGTATACATTTGAGTTTTAAACAAAAAGGAGAATGGTCACCAGTACTGACCATATTGCTCCCCTTCCTGGGAAGTATAAAATAAGATGGAGAGCTACTAACAACTGCAACCAGGTTAGTCATCTACAAATAGATCCTAACTACTGGCAGGACACCTGTGTTATGATTAAATGACTTGTCACACTTACTTGCACTATACTGACATTGAATTGAAAAACATTTACCTTAAAATTGGTAACTGGACATATTGAAATCCCTATTCAAACAGAAAAAAACAAGCCAAACCCTTAATTTAAAATGCTACTCACTTTCAAGTACAATAATAGAGTGAAATTTTACTAACCAGAGTACCACCATCAAAAAGAAAAACAAAATCACAGGAAATCATCCCACATTTGGTAAATTTTATAGAATATAGAAAAAAAAATATGTAGGAGATGGACATCTGGGTAAGTTTAAAGTGAAAAACAAGAGAAAGTCATGATTAAAAAGACAGGATATACTCATGGCATTAATTTTGCTGAAATCAGGTAATTATTAAATATTGTATCTTCATTAGTATGAACAACTGCCAGGAATCATTAGTCTGCTTCCAAAATATGTTGGATTCACAGTATAAATCAGAATTTTTTCTATATCAACAGAATTTCAACACCAAGCCAGCAGAGGAAAAAATAATAATTTATATATTTTCTGTTTGAAAGGCAAAACTATTACCAAAAGGCTATGGCCTAGTCCCAATGTAATTAAGCAGACCTTCTATCAATAATGGGTAATTGCACCCACCCAGGGACACCATATGTCACAGTCAGGTATAATGGCACAAGCAGGTAAATCAAACAATTGGGGAGACTGGGGCAGGAGGATTGCTATGAGTTCAAGGCCAGCCTGGGCTACACAGTGAGTTCAAGGCCAGCCTGCACTACATAACAGGAATCCGTCTCAAAAACCACAGAAAAAAGTAATTTCTTTGAACATCTTGATTACATCAGATTGTTTCTATGAAAAAAGAAAAAATCAGCCTACCCAAAATGAAATTATAACAAAAAAAAAACCCTGTGGAATACTACTAGAACCAACTAAGCACTGTTTGTGGGAGTGAACAGGAAGATATCTATGTAAAACTTTCAACTTTTTGTCCAAATTGAGATGGAAGGGAATTACACAGAAAAATCTAGCATCTGTTTTTCTCAAAAGCTCAATTTTAAAGATTTTTTTCATATTCTTCAATATACAAATAAAGGCTACTCTAAAAATAATGTTTCTAAATACTAGTGCTATTAAACTTGAACACATTACCATCCTACTACTAAGGCTCATTCACAGGACAAGTATTAATTAAAATGTACACTCTTGCGAGAAAATATTTGGTGAAAATACCCCCAATTATATTGAAAACATATAGAAATCATAATGTATCATCTGAGCAGTACTAATACAAAATTCTAAAATCTGAAGTTCTCCAAAATCCTTCAGATTTTGAGATTACAAATGTTCAAATGGTAAAGTACAGACAAATATACCAAAATTCAAAAGAACTCCAAAATCTGAAACGCTACTAATCCCAAACATTTCATACAAGGGATACTCAACCTGTATCAGTGAATGTCTTATATAAAAAAGAAACAATTTAAAACCTAACTAACAGTCAAAAAGTAAAAAAATGACCATAATAGCACATTCACATAACCAACTCAAATATATATACAATTTTTAAAACCTGACAAGTTGTTTGGTATTATTTTTCGATCAAAAAGTACATAAAGCCCAAGGTAGAAAATCTGAAATTATGGAATTTCAAAATCAAAGGTTACCATTTACATTTTCTTCTAAAATGCTCAATCAGAAAAGACAGAATGTCAGTCAAACTATATTTTGTCACTGTTCATTAAATATATGCAATTAAACAAATATGTTCACAGATCAGACCATTCTGTATCACAATAGTATACATTTACATTCCAATATAAATGATGCTACATAATATCATATAAAATAACAGGAACTTATTTATTTACTAAAATACTCAAGATAGAACTAAGATTTTTTTTTTTAGGATTAAGTTTTTTAAAATGATCTCAAAAGCTACTACAGGTATAAAAGAAAAATGTAAATCTATTGTAAAATTTTCAAATAATTATATATAAGTATACATTACTTGGGAATTTAAAGTATTTACTTCTTCAATTTCAGGAATATTAAGACTTCTTGAGCTACAAACTAGCCCATGTTCCTTGATTCTAACAAATTCTTATGAGTTCTGATGAAAGATGCATTGTAATTAAAATTAAATCTTGCCGGGGATATAGCTCAGTGGCACAAGCGCCTGCCTGGCAAGCGCAAGATCCTGAGTTCGATTTCTGATACCAGGAAAAAAAAAAAAGAACCAGGAATAAAATTAAATCTTGAACAAGAAAAAAGTTTTATACAAATTTATTGCATCCAAATAGTTAAGCATTTGCAATTATACACTAGTTACTTCCCCATAAACACAATACTGAAGGCAAAGCATATGAATGCGTATGAAATTTACACACAATTACAATATGCTTTCTACTAAAATACATCTCACTCAGGGCCAGGGTTGGAGGCACACACCTGTAATCCCAGCACTCAGGAGGCTGAGGCAGGAGGATCCCATGAGTTCAAGGCCAGCCTGGGTTACATAAGGGAGTTCCAGGCCAGCTTGAACTACATAGCGAGACCCTGTCTCAAAAAAACAAACAAAAAAAGGACGTCTCACTCAAAAAAATGTGAAAATGGAAAAATAATGCCAAGACTTTATCATGAGCTGCAAATTTTAAAAGTTGCTTAGTGCATATCCATACTAAAATAGTACAAGAAAGCATCTGTTTTTTCCTCTCATGACTATATAAGCCATGTATATTAAGTCCTTCTTTGGTACAGTGTATATTAAATTTTATAATATATATGTACTTTTTTTTGGTACCAGGAATCAAACTTAGGACGTTGCGCTTGCCAGGCAGGCACTGTGCTGCTGAGCTATATCTTCGGGCCACTTGTGTATTTTATAAAACACACTGAGCCGAGTTACACAGAGATATATGTAGTTCAGGCTGACCTTGAACTCCTAGCAATCCTTCTGCCTCAAAGTCCCTCAGTGCTGGGATTATAGGCATGCACCACCACACCCAACATGATCAGGTAATTTAAAAGATAAAACTGTAAGTTACATTTTCACAAGCTCAAACACAAAAAATTACCATACTTTAATATTTTTAATTGGTAACTAAGTATAAAAATTAATCAACCACATGTAAATTAAGATAAACTGTTTCAAACATTATTAGCCTATCAGTAACATTTCTGCCTTCATGATTTATAAGAAAACAAATACTAGCATCTATAAATGAAAAAGGAAGCATTTTAAAAGAAGATAAAACTCTACATATTTTCATAATCTGGCTATGATGGCATACAATTAAATGCCAGATATTGTATGCCTTTACCATTCCACTCAGGATCCCACCCCATCCTACACAATAACTGAACACACAGTTTTCATTTAAATAAGTAGGAAAGGACAATCTACGACTAACCTCTAATTTAAAAGTGTACCAAAAAAATCTGTTCATTCACCTTTATAAAAATGTTTATTAACAGAATGCTGATCTTTGAAACAGAAACATCAGAATGAGCAAGACCTAAAACAGATCTAAAGTATAACAACTGACCCCACAGCATTTACTACTTAGTTCATTTCTTGTAAAACTACAGCACAAAAATTACATGTATATTTGCTTCTTAATTTTTCAACAATATTAGGAAGAAATACATGGTTATTATCCTGCTCTTTAATAAAATCATCAAGTCTATCATAGACTTTTAGTGCTAGAATTAATCAGAAAAATTCCATCTAACTCTTTTTCATTTTAGTGATGGAAAACTTTAGCAAAAAAGTTTAAGTCACTTGGCAAAGATCACACAGTTACTAGAAACATTAGAATTAGAGGTCAGATACCCCTATCCCATTATTCCAATTCTATTCACTATACCACTCTACCTGTTAAAGATTTTGAGTAAGAGTACCCTATAGTACGGGAAATGTTCATAAGACATGTAGAAACACCATCATTATATTCTTTTGTATCTTGTTCATTGTCCCCTGCTATAACAGGGGTAAATCTTTTTTGCATCTCTCAGCCATCCCTTAGTTAATTAAATCTGTACAGGTTTGCATTTAAACCTATTAGGTCTTATTAAAGTTAATGCAACCATACTACACCCACTTTATTCAAAAAGGGACAAGCTGCACGTGGTGGTACAGGCCTGTAATCCCAGCACTTGGGAGGCTGAGGCAGGAGGATCATTGAGAGTTTGAGGCCAGCCTGGGCTACAAAGTGAGCTCAAGGCCAGCCTGAACTGCATAGCGAGACTCAAAAAAGACAAAAAGAAAAAAAGAAAAGAAAAGAGAAAATGCACAAAATCTAAATACCTTGAAAATTGATGCTTATTTTTAAAGTAATTTCTTAATCTTAAATACCTGAGTAATCTCTTTTACCTCTTCTTCTCAATAGGTCTCAATAAATAGGACCACCACTCTGGATGACAAACATGATAGTCAAATATGGAGAGAGATGTGTTGTCATCAATTTATTAAGATGATTCACTTGCATAAAAAAATAATCTGTCAAAATTAAAAGCATCTCTAAAAACTGATCAGTTCATAGGGAAACATAAAATTGACAGTTCTGCATTTATAACACACCCTATGCTAGGTGTGCTAATATTTACTTTCTCTTAAGGTTTCTGAGTTTTAGCCCATTTTCTGGCCCTTCTTTCAAACTTGCAAGAAGACGGTGAATCTTTCTATGGCACATACTCCCGATTTTTACAACCTGCTTGCTGTTCTGTTGCTGCTGTATGCACCCATGCCTAGGGTGTGTTATGATCTTTTTAAAGTCCTTACAGATGGAATCATACCTATTCTCAGGATCATTGTCGTCATCATCATCGTCATCATCATCATCGTCATCATCGTCATCATCATCATCCACAGTGACAGGCACTGATTTAGATAAGGCTTCATCTCCTTGGGAGGAAAAAGTGTACTTAAAATTAGCTCTAAGGTATCTATAAGTAAAATTGTGTAAAATAAAACTGAAAACCAAAACCTTCCAAGGAAACTCGTGCATTCCAAATATTATTCTAAAATCTAAATCATGAGCAAAGAGAATACTTACTGAAAGCACAACAGGAAATTTATGAAGTATCAAAAGTAAAATGATAAAAACAGATATACATTTCAAGATTCTTTATAGAGCACATGAATTTTAAAGCCATGTCTGTAACAATTCTATAGCAATTATCATCATTATTACCGTAAGGTTCTTGTTGAAATAACCTTTGTACTTATTTATTTACTTATGTCTTTTTGAGACAGGATCTCCCTATGCAGTTCCGGCTGGCCTTAAGCTCACTCTGTAGCCCTGGTTGGTCTTGAACTCATGACGGTCCTCTTGCCTCTGATTCCCAAGTGCTGAGATTACAGGCATGCACCACCACACCCAGCTTGTACTCATACATTTAAAGTTTCAGGTTAACACATGTCTAATTCACCCTGTATCACTGAAGAATAACAAATTGCTTTTATGTTTTAGTACTACCAAGCAATTTAAAAACACATTTGAAATTATATAATACCCATGATGTCTTCAATTACTCAGAGATATACAGTACAGTGGTTTCTGAGTTCATGAACTTAATTCTTTCCACAATTCTAGTCACAAGCCAAATTGGATGATAACCACATGAAATTTCTCCATGAAGTGAACATTACACCTAACCACTGAATTGGATTCAGTTCTCATCCAATTCAGTTTTCTAACAGAATCGTACAAAGAATTAAGTTTACGAACCAAGGTACCACTGCATTTAATTACATTACAATTTTGTTATTTAAAAATCTATCCTTCAACTAAAAATCGAAAGAAATTAAGATTTATGCATTTCATTGTATGTAAATTTCACCTCAAAAAAATTAAACACTGAACTCTATTCCATGCATGTTGCAGTAATTCAGGAGAAGTGTATTAATGTTTGACATTTACAGTACTCTGAAATGCATGAAAACCTTCAAGGGTATTATGCTGAAAAACAAGCCAATATCAATAGTTTGTCATAGTTCCATCTCAAAATAACAAAATTATAGAAAAAGATTTTTAGTTGCCAGGAACTAGTAAAGGGGTAGAGGAATCTTGTGATAATGGGACAATTTGCAGCGGTGACTATACAAAGCTACACATACGATACAATCACATACAACTATTCTCTCTCATACACACATACACACAGTAAAAGTGCACGTAAAACCACTGAAATATGAACCATCTTCAGTTTCCCACTTTTAACAGTGTACTACAAATGAATAAAAAATGTGATGAGATGCTTCATTTTCTTAAATTTATTACAATAAAAAGTCATTGCCATTAATCCCCATCAAAATACTTCCCCTCACTTGAAATATACATGTCCTATCATTCTTGTCACTTTCCAGAGCAGTTCTGAAAGTCTTTCAAGAGAGTCTTTAGCTATACAGTTGTTGTTGCCTTGGTGCCCTAAACCAATTAAAAAACCTTTACCTCTCACAGTCATTTGGACTTTGACGAAAAGCCACAAGCTGCACAGTGCCAGATACAGCGAACAAGGTAGATAAGGACACGCCATAATGTACTTAAAAGCCTGCCTTTCAATCAGAGGGAACTCAGCCACATTCACTGCATCGTGCCTCATACAGAAACTCACAAAAAAGACCCAGAATTGCCTTACAAAGCAGCAAGAATGATCAGTTAAGTATGTTTGAGGGGAGGCGGAGTATTTTGAGGGAGATTAAAGGCAATGTCTTTTTCCACAGTAATTATTTTACTATCGTATATTTTAATCACACCTTATACAAGGCAGTACCACAGGGGGTCACTCAGTGAAGCGACATCTAAGATATCCTGTACTTTTTCCCTCTAAATTCCTGTGCTTCTATAATTATTTCAAAATAAAAGCTTTAAAAAGACACAAAAAGTAGATACACTGAAAGATAGGATATACCAAACAAATATAAGACAATGCTAATGGTGAAAACATTTCTGTAGATTTTAAATTTTTTCATAATAAAATATTAGGGAGCCAGGAGTGGTTGCAATCCCAGTTACTTCAGGGGCTGAGGCAGAAGAATCAGAAGTACAAGGCCAGCCTCGGCAATGTAGCAATGCTCTAAAAATAAAAAAACTTTAAAGGGCTGTGGGTGTATTACGATACACCCGAAATTCGATCTCCAGTGCCACAATAAAAACATGCTTGGGGACAATGGAGAAAAATATCTACAGAGCTGGGCATGGTGGCACATTGCTATAATCCCACTACTGGGGAGGCTGAGACAGGAGGACTGCCCCAAAATCGAGGCCAACCTGGGCTATATAGTGAGTTCAAGGCCAGCATGAATTACATAACAAGACTCTACCTCAAAAAACAAACAACAACCAAAAAACTAAAGAAGCTAAAGACATAGCTCAGCGGTAAAGTATATGTCTAGCATGCATGAAGACTCAGGTTTGAGCCCCAGAACTATTAAAAAAAAGGAAAGAAAACCAACAACAGAGACACCTACAGATTCAGAACAGAAGTAAGATAAATACAAAAAACCAGAAATAGATCTCACAGCATTCTGGCAAAATATCTCAAAACAGACCAATCTTCAAACAACATATTACTAGTAATACTGTCATTCCATTTTTACTCCACCTTTCAAAATCTGACCTATGCTTTTCAAAAGTCAAGTTCAAATTCTATGTTAAATTTTCCCTCAAATATTTAAATACTCACTTGTCACTTATCACATGGCCCCACTGTAGTACTTTTAATATTTTTATAGCGCCAGTGTGGTTATTATGTCTCTCTTCTACTTTGCTTCTTTGTTGTTATTGTTTTATTTTTGTTTTTCTTTTCATGAGACAAGGTCTGGCTACGTCACCCAGGCTGGTCTCAAACTCCTGGGCTTGCCTCAGCATCCTGACTAGCTGGGATTATAGGATACACCATCTCACTCAGCTCTTGTAGTATATTTAAAAGTAATAATAATTTGTAGATCTTTGTCTTGCATTAAACTATTTTTCATCTTGGGTGCTCATGTCATTCCAAGTCGTAATTTCTAAGAAAATGTTGTACTTATAATAGAATACCCAAATATTGATAAAGAAATTTAATCCTCTAAACTCATTGGAGTGAAGGGACTTTGTAAGATCTCCTAAAACTGTCACATAATATTAAATAAAACATACTAGAGAAATATATGAATTCTGCATGTTTATATGAACATGCAAGTAACTTCTTAAGGAATGCCATTCATCACTGGCTCATAGCCCAAGTTATCTTTGAAAAAACAGTACTTTTATATAGAGCTTGTTTTCAGGCCCTCTCTTCTATTCTACGTGTGTGGTTATTGACAAAGCCCGGGATTTTTGGTTGTTACTTTGAGAAAGGGTCTCACTATGTAGTACAGGCTGGCCTTGCTGAGATCCTCCTGCCTCAGCCTCTTGAGTGCTGGGCTTACAGATGTGTGCCACCACACTTAGCCAAAGCAGTTTTGGATGGGTTAAATTTCCCAACTAAAACGGGGAGGGGAAGAAGAGTTGAAGGGAGGGGAGGGAAATAGTGAAAAAAAAAAGAAAGAAAGAATCAAGTTATACCATGTACAGGTACAAATTCTATGATGAATGTGATTATATATATATATACCTAAAGTGTTCCCATAAAATCTAATTTAAAAAAAAAGGAAAAATGTACCAATAAAATCTGATTGAAGAGAAAAAACTTTGCCAGCAAATGTATCTTCTTTTAAACAAAGTAAACAGCTTAATCCCAAGAAATATCTAGAGGTAAAGAAAATCTCACACAATGTATACCTACTGAATTCCTTGCATCAGTCTGGCTGGCTGGCTGGCTGGCTGGCTGGCTGGCTTGCTTGCTTTCCTTTTTTTGGGTGGCGGGAGGGGGGATCTTTTCGAGACAGGGTTTCACTATGTGGTTCAGGCTGGCCTCAAACTCACAGCAATCTTTCTGCCTCCGCCTCTTGAGTGCTGGGATTATAGGCGAGCGCCACTATGCCCAGTCTTAAACCTGATTTTCCTTCATAAACTACTGCTCATTATTCCAGAGAAAACCATGAAATACTGATAAGAAAATTATTATTAAATACCCAACAAATTTGATCGGAGACTGAAAAGAATAGAATTAAGGGAAAGAAAACGTTTAAATTCAAAGAGAAATGCCAAGGACATACAATACTAACACAATACTAATGTTTGAAATATTTCTAAGATGGCATAAAAATAATGGAGAGAGTCTTTAAAGTAAATCTCGAAAGAACTTTTCAATGAACCTTTTCTAAATAGTAATTCTGAATTTCACTGGCTTCAAGGAAAATGAAACAGTACAGTTGCTCAGGATGGTTTAAAAGCAGAAACTACCAATTTTTTAAATTTATTCTTGCATACCTGAAGATTGGCAAAATCCACTGTGCGAAGACAGCACTAAATTTTCAGTCACAGGCTTAATTTTCTGTTCATCACTGCTCCCCTCGCCTACAGAATTCTGATCATCATCTCCTATATCAGAAGAGGAAGAAGTAATGTCTGCTTGTTTCCTTTTAGTGCTTGTTCTCAAAGAGTTTCTCTTTTTCTGCTTTACAATGACTGACTTCTTTTTTGCTGAACTTCTTTGTTTCTTCCGCTTTTTATTATCTTCAGAACTTTCCTCAGCATCAGACGATGATGAGCCACTTTGTATGTCCTTGGCATTTCTCTTTGAATTTAAACTTCTTCTTTCCCTCAATTCTATTCTTTTCAGTCTCCGATCAGAAGAGTTACAACCATCTTTCACGGAGAGTTTCTCAGTATCAGAGGATGAGCAATCTTGTCCCTTCCTTGAACTCTTCTCAGGCAAGCTGCTCCTTTTCTTCTCTCTACTAGATGTTCTAGTCTTACTCTTTTTCTCTTCTGAAGAGTCACAACTGTCTCCTTTCCCTGGCAACTTCCCAATATTATCAGATGATTCCTCCTTCTTTTTAGACAGTTTATCTTTTAGTTTTTTACCTCTCTTTTCCCCATCCGTTGAATCATTCTTACTCTGTTTTATGCCTTCAGGAAAATGAGAAATTTCTTCTCCCTCAGGTAATTTCTCAGTGCCATCAGAGGACGATTCATCCTGTTGTTCTATTTTAATCACTTTTTTTGAGTGTACAGTTTTCTTTTCTTTTTCGTCAGATCCTTTTTTGCTCTTGTTTTTATCGTCTTCAGAAGATTCATCACTCTGTTCTTTCTTTGGAAGTTTCTCAGTGACATCAAATAAACCACTCTGTACTTTTTTACATGTTTTAGTTTTTAGATGCTTGCTCTTATCTTTAGTGTCAGCAACTTTTTTATCTTCTGGAGAATTTAAACTCTCCTCTTTTCCAGAAGAAGACTTATCAGCACCATCAGGGAAAATATTTGGCTGGTGCTTCTTAGAAAATTGGTCTCTTAATTCCACAATGGTCTTATCTCTATCTACCAAAGAGAAACTTTCACTCTCTAGTTTCCTTTCAACATCATCAGATGATCCTTCCTGCACAGTCTTCAAACTTTTCTGCCCTTGATTATCCATTTCCTTTTTACTATGTTTTTCATCTTCAGAAGAATCACAATCTTTTTTATTTGAAACTCTTTTTTTGGTTGTTCTGGTAGCCGCGATTTTACTCATGTTTTTTATCTCTTTTTCTAATTCTGAGTCATAATTAGAAGACTCAGACTGGTTTTGACGTTTCTTTTTGGAAATTATAGAGCTTTTAGCCGATCTACCTTTTTTAATATCAAAATCTGAGCCAGAAGTAGAACTTTTTCGTTTCCTTTTTCCTTTATCATCTTTTCCTTGTTGAGTCTTTAAATCACAGGTCTTATGATTATGAGTTTCATTAATATCCGTATCTGAAGAAGAACTGTGACTCATCCTGCTTACCTCTTTGAGGATTGCTAACATTTCATCAGAATCTGAATTTTGATCTCCAATTTCTGACTGCTTAGATTTAGGCAATTTATTAGGTTTAGGACTATCTATAGCACAGTCAGAAGAATTTCGCTTATCAGTTTTTCTCATTGGAACTGATAGTTTTTGTTTTTCCTTCACTGTTTCATTACTTTCTTCATCTGAATTAGATGTTACAGTTTTAGTTTCTGTCTGTCGCCTCAAGGGTGTAGTCTTTACTCGAGGCGATCTTCGAAGATCAGATTCTTCTAAAGGTAATGGAACTTCATTTTCAACCAAATGCTCGTTATCAATGTTTTCCTCTCCAAGTCCACATTTGTCTGATTTGGTAGAACTTTTAGAGCCAACTTTATCTTGTGGAACTTCCTGACAATCTGCACCTTTAACTGGGGAGTTAGAAAGGGAAACAGGAGTAAGTTTGACATACAATTCTCTTGTCATTTTAGCTGTAGTTTTGGACTTAATACCTCCTCTGTTATCTTTTGAAGGAGTATTTAATTTCACAGATGAATTCTCAAGTTCTTGCTCAGCTGTACTATTACTATCCCCCTGACAATCAGCTGAACACTGAACTTCCATAGCAGTCTCAAGATTCTCAAAAATATCTTCTGGAACTGATGAAGGAACAGACACAATATCCATGTCTAAGTCTTCAGAAGTGTTAGCAGGTTCATACTGAGGCTCTTCTTTCCTGTCAGATTTCTTAGATTCACCACTAGTACTTTTATTTGCTCTTTGTTCCTCTGGTGGAACACTCTGATCCATGTGCTCACTTTCTATCTGTTTTCTTGATAATTTAGCTTCTGACTTTGAAATATCCTTTCTTTCCAAAGCACAAGGTTTTTCTCCTTTCCGTACTTTCACTTCAGGCTTTAAATCTACAACTTTCTGTTCTTTGGTATTTTTCTCATTGTTTACAACATCCAAAGCTCGAATCTCAGAATTCAAATCTTCTTCCAATGCAAGATGAGCCTTCTTGATATCAACCAGCACAGATTTAAAAGCTTTAAGTTGACGTAACTTCACAGAACAACTTATTTCTGAATTATCTGTTGCCTGCTTCAAAAACTTAACATAACTGGAGTTCATGTTGGCTGTGGTCTCAATTAGTTTTTTTGTCTTCTTAATCATCTCTTTGGGCACAGTTAGTGCTGAATATGAATAGGTTATAGAACCAGAACATGAATCATCGAATTTCTTTTCTTCTCCATTACAATTTGAACTATTCTTCTTTGGGGAAAATCTGGGTGCGGGGTCACATACTTTACTACTCTTTTCACTGTCAATTTTTATTTTCTTCTTATTTTGTTGCAACAATTGTTCTAAATTTTCAAACACGCTGTTACATGCAGTGACCAAGTCCAACAAAGGTTCTGGGTGACAAATGTAGCAATACCATTGGTTGTTTTCATCCATTATTGTAGATAGCTCCTTTCGACCAAGGTTGCGCAGAATGCATTTCTTACAAAAGGCATTATGGCAAAAGTCGCAACAAATCAAGTTCCCACCTTCTGCACACCATCTGAAATATTTTAAAGATTCAAAATATTATTCCCAAGGCAATTAATTTTAATTTCATCACTATTAAAGCAATTTCAGTTTTTAGGTTTTTCTTTGCCAGCCACTTTAGTAGAAACTTAGGGCATATGCTTATTCTTTACAAGAAATATAAAACAAGATAGAAACTTAAGGCTTTCTGGAAAATAACAAATATCCACTAAAAACATCAGTGAAGATGCTACAAAAAATGGATCTAATAAAAGACTAGAAGAACTCCCACGAAGATGCACATGGTGACTCACATCTATAATCCCAGGTATGGGGAGGCTTAGGCAGGGGGAGCATGGTGAGTTCAAGGCCAGCCAAGGATATATTCTGAGTTCAAGGCCACCTTAAACTACATAGTGAGACACTGTCTAAACAAATGGGGAAAAAAAACCCTCTCACAAAAAGCAGATAATGAATGTTAGTGAGCTTGATTTGTTACCTACCTACATTGTTCATCCATTCCATCTGAGTCGCGGCTAATATCATCACTCATGTAATACTTAAAGCAATTCTATTGAAAGAAAAATGAGAAATTTAATTCAAACTTCATAACACTCATAAAGGACAAAAAAAATTTAAGTAATTAAGAAGGAAAAGGAGGGCAGGGTATAGTAGAGCATGCCTCTTGTCAGAACACTTGGGGGGGCTAAGGCAGAAAGACTGCCGCAAGTTCAAGAATAGCCTGGGCTACATAGTGAATTCAAAGCCAGCCTGAACAACACAGCAAGACCCTCACTCAAAAAAAAGTTAAGAAATAAGAGGAATGGGTATGTTTTAAATAAAGCAAAACACTGTACTACCCAATATTAGTATTTTTTAGATAAAGCAATATCTGAAAATATTAATTCCTTGAAATACACTTCCATTATCTTCAAGCATCACTATTCCATTTAAAGCTGTTAGAGAAAAAAAAAATCATCTTTAAAGGAAAGCCCATCAGAATCATAGCAGACTTCTCAACACAAATCCTCAAGTCAAGGAAACCTTAAGGTAAAGTACTTCAAGCCCCACAACTACACAACCTCCAACCCAGACCGATGTACCTTGCAAAAAACTGTGTTTCAAAACTGACAGAGAGATAAGATACTGACATGACAAAGAACACATGAAAAAAAGTCACGAACAACAAACCAGTACTTCAAAATGTTCTCAAGGACATTACAGAAAAAGGTAACAAAGATTACAACTCCAAGCACCCAAACAGAATGAATCCACCATGAAAGACAAGCAATTAAACAGACGGGAAAAAGGGGAGCCAACAACAGGAAAATAACACAACAGGGATTAAGTCACTATATAACAGTTATAATCATCAATGTTAATGGCCTCAATTTATGAATCAAAAGAAACAGACTATGAGAATGGATTAAGAATCAAGACCTAACAATACACTGCATGCAAGAAACACATTTAATTCAAAAACATTCATAGATTGAAAGTGAAAGGATAGAAAACAATACACCATGTGAAAGGAACCCAGAAAAAAGCAGGGATACCTAGTAATGCAATGGAGACTAAGAAAACAATACAAAGAACCAACAGATCAAAGAGTTGGTTCTTTAAAAGATCAAATGAAATTGACACTTAGCCAACCTTATCAAAAAAGGGAAAAAGACTCAAATTCATGTAATTGGGAATGAAAAGCATAAAATCACAACAGATCATGCAGAAATCCAGAAGATCATCAATACATACTTTAAGAACCTGTATTCTAATAAGACAGAAAATGCAGAATGGATAGATTCCTAGGCACCTATGAATTATCAACAATGAGTCAGGAAGATATAGAAATTCTACATAAACCAGTATCAGTCAATGAAATTGAAGACATAATTAAAACCCTACCAAAAAAAAAAAAAAAAAAACAACCCTACCAACAAAGAAAAGCCCAGGTCCTGATGGATTAACTGCTACATTCCACAACAAATTTGGAGCAAATATACTGTATCTAATTCTCAAAACTTTAATGAAATTGAAAAGGAAGCAATACTCCCAATTTCATTCCTGGAAGCAAGCATTACCCTGACAACAACACCAGAGAAGGATCCAACTAAAAAGAGAACTTCAGGCCAATCTCCCTAATGAACATAGATGCAAAAATCATCAAGAAAATTCTAGCAATCAGAAAACGGCAGATCATCAAGACAATTATACATCTATCACCATGCACTAAACTCAAGTCAAAATGGATCACAGATCTCAATATTAAAACAGAAACACTAAATCTATTGGAAGAAAAAGTAGTTAAAAATCTTGAAGACACAGGGGCAGGCAGAGAGTTCTTATACAAAAACCAAACCGCATGGGAAATACTTCAAAGAATCAACAATTGGTATCTCATTCCACTGAACAGTTTTTGCACATCTAAAGAAATCACCAGCAGAGTAAAAAGAAAACCCACAAATTGGGAAAAAATTTTAGCTGACTGTCCCTCAGACAAAGGGCTTCTATCTAGAACATGTAAAGAATTAAAAAACATCAGCACCCCCCCCCCAATTCAAAGACCCAATCCAAAAACGGGCAGCTGAGATGAACAAACAGTGCTCAGATAAAGAAATACAAATGGCAAATAAATACATGAGAAAATGTCCAACATCACTAGTCATTTGAGAAATGCAAATTAAAACAACATTGAGATTTCATCTCACCCCAGTAAGAATGGCTAGCATTAAGGAATCAACCAACAACAAATGCTGGTGAGGCTGTGGAGAAATAGGAACTCTTCTCCACCGCTGGTGGAAATGCAAACTGGTGAAACCACTGTGGAAATCTGTGTGGACAGTCCTCAGCAAACTAGGTCAAGAGTTCCCATTCAACCTAGCTATTCCCCTTCTGGGTATTTTCCCAGAAGATCTGAAAACATCCTATCACGGTGATTTATGTGCACCCATGTTTATAGCAGCACAACTTATAATAGCTAAATCGTGGAAGCAACCCAAATGTCCATCCACTGAGGAATGGATAAAAAAAACTGTAGTATTTTTATATAATGGAGTATTACTTAGCTATAAAGAAAGATAGATTCGAAGCCTTTACAGGTAAATGGTCACAACTAGAGACCATATTCATAAGTGAAATAAACCAGACCTCCATGTGTAAGCAAAGTATTGTCTCACTAGTGTAACAACCTGAAAGACTGAATAAAAATTAGGAGGTATGATAAGACATTGTGAAACGAAAGGAAAATGCTCAAAAGTAAAGAGCAACTGGGATGAGAGAAAAGAGAAAAGAAAGAAGGGGAAATTATGTATATATGTATATAAAGGATAGCTAACATAGTTGTACTACTGTCTTCTGTCTCTTTACTGAAAGGCACAGTTTATGATTAATTATTTGATCAATCTTGCATGTCTCTATTTGTTTTCCTGAGAAACCACTTTGAAGATATCAATATGTAATATAACAACCATTGTTAATTTCCTATCACTTTGTCTGTAATTCAGTACTGCCTGTATTGTTCTTATGCTATTTTGTAAATGGATGTCTGTTAATATGTTTTCGTTCTATTATTTTTGAAATAATTTTTTTTTGCCTTTCTTTTTTTGAGACAAGGTTTCGCTATGCAGTTCAGGCTGGCCTTGAGCTCGCTTTGTAGCCCAGGCTGGTCTCGAACCTGCAACGATCCTCCTGCCTCAGCCTCCTGAGTGCTGGGATTACAGGTGTGCGCCACCACGCCAGGCTTATTTTTTAAATAAAAATTTTTTTATTTGTCTGTTTTTTGTTTTTTTTTCCAGAACCGGGAATCGAACTCACGACCTTGTGCTTGCCAGGCAGGCGCTGTGCCACTGAGCTAAATCCCCAGCCCCAATAAAATTTTTTTTAAAAGAGGATTATACACCATGACCAAGAAGGATTCATCCCAGGGATACAGGAATGATTCAACATACACAAATCAATAAATTAATACACTATATTAAAAGAACCAAGAGGAAAAACCATATGATCATCTCAATAGATGCAGAAAAAGCATTTGACAAAGTTTAACACCCATCCATTATAAAAATCCTATAGAAAATTGGAATAAATGTTCTTTATGTCAATCCAATAAAAGTCATCTATGACAAACCAATGGCCAACATCATACTAAATGAACAAAAACTGAAAGCTTTCACTCTCAAATCAGGTACAAGGCAGGAATGTACACTGTCACCTCTCTTATTCAACTGAGTTCTAGAAACATTAGCCAGAGCAATTAGACAAGAGAAAGAAATAAAAGGAATAGGGATAGGAAAGGAAGTGAAATTATCATTATTTGCAGATGACATGATATTCTACATAGAAGACCCCCAAAACTGTACCAAAAGACTTCTCAATTTGGGCCAGGGATATAGCTCAGGGGCAGAAGCACCTGCCTGGCAAGCACAAGGTCCTGAGTTCAACTCCCATTACCAAAACAAAAAAGACTTCTAGATTTAATAACCAAATTTAGTCACAGAGCTGGATACAAAGTCAACACTCAAAAATTAATAGCCTTTATATACACTAACAACAAACTCACTGAGAGAGAAAGAAGGGAAAACAACACCTTTCACAATATCATCCAAAAAAGTGAAATGTCTAGGAATCAATCTAATGATGGAAGTAAAAGAATTCTACATTGAAAACTACAGTACTCTAAAAAAGGGGATTGAAGACGATATCAGAAAAAGCAAAGATGTTCCTTGTTCTTGGATAAGAAGACTCAATACAGTGAAAATGACCACAGTCCCAAAATTGTTATACAGATTTAATGCACTCCCGATCAAAATTCCAACACCATATTCATTTGAAACTAAAAGAGACCTACAATACCAAAGGCAATTCTGGGCAACAAAGGCA